ACATATACATTGAATCTGAAATTTATAAATCAAACAACATTGTTTGATGACACCAATGGGCTCAAAAGGAAATTTGTACTGTTTGATGAAGATTCTCAAAGGTTACGCGTCTCGAATTATTTTCAATATGCTTATAACGCTGGACATTGATAGCTGCATAAGAATTTTTTTTTGGATGCGAGATTCTGGCAATGTGAACAATTTATTTTGATTTTTCTTATTTTTATTTTTTGAATTCAAACTAACACATGTATTTCAATTCAACAATCAATAAAGTTATCATTTTGATTATAGTAATTTTGAGGAAAGTGCATTCGTTTTATTAATTATCAAAATCACGACCGTAGATATCCGTGTACTGTTTCACAAAGAACACGAGTGGAAAATGATTGCCGAAAATGCGTTCCTTTTTATCCGACGTTTGATACAGGGGGAGGAAATTTTTTTAAGCCTAGGATATAAAGAGAAGTGTTTTCAAATCATTCTTGTGCTGTAATTGAAGTATGAACTGTCAACAGTATTCCCACAAAAAAATGAGTTCATATCTCTCTTCATTTGTTAAGTTCAACATTTGACATTAAGTCATTTTGATATTTTTTTAAAAACTGAAAAAATCCAAAATCATGTTGAGATTAGGTATCTCACAAAAGATTGTATAGCATCAAACAATTTCAATCACTTCTTGCGTGTAATTTGTGGTCACCTTCCTCCATCGTATACCATAGTCAAAGAATAAGAAAACCCTTCATAGTTGTGCAGAGACTTAATGAAAGAGGACTCTCACACTTTTGTGACAATTGTGAAAACAGTTCAAGATGTGATGGCCAAAATCCAAGTGTAGTTCATTAAATATTCCAAATGCCCAATAGTACGTTAGCTGCGATCCTCAGCATCACAGCAGACAGTGTCTTCAATATATCACACGAAAAATGTTACTTAGAGAACGTTTGTTCGCGATCATTCGAAAAGCCTTTGATATTTTTTTGACAGATGATCACATTTGTCTTTGTGATTGATTACTCAAGCTTCTGGAATGTAGCGAATAAATCAACAGTAGTTGGTAATGAAGCCTGGTTCTTGTACTACAAATCAAAGACCAAAGCGAAGAGAATGTATTATTATACAGTGTTGGCAAGGCATCAGTAGAAAGTCGCCTCCAAACAGATGATTTCCAACATATGACTACCGTTTCTGGGATACAAATGGTATATTAATGATTGGCTTGTCACCAAAAAATACTATGGTCTTGGGTCTGTACCACGCTCAATAGATGTATGGATTGCGTTATGTAGTAGAAGTAAAATATTGTTTTCTTCTGGCGAGAAAATTTGTCTTCGTATGACAGCTCGCAAGTGAATAATTGGAAAAGCATTGTCACCACCTGAATCTTGATTCAAATTCACCATCTATTGCATTTGTTGAGGCCGGCCTCTAGCTAGTATTTCCACTTTTCAAATATGAAAAATGTCTCAATAGAAAAATGCGGTGCTCGATTTTATAAAAATTTCGAAGGATTTCGAGGTGATGACTAATTGACCAACGTAGAAAACTCTCAATAAGAGATATCAACCTAATTTTTTGTGGGAATACTGTTGACAGTTCATACTTCAATTACAGCACAAGAATGATTTGAAAACACTTCTCTTTATATCCTAGGCTTAAAAAATTTTCCTCCCCCTGTAGAATCCAATTCACCATCAAAGCACACACATCATCAATGATAACTTTTGCATGCGGACTGTTATCTTTGTTGTATTGCACAACACTGGTAAAATGCGACGCCAAACTCTCAAAGAAATTGGAAATATCAAAAACGTTGTTAATTAACTTTTTAATTGGATCGCAAAGCATGTGTTTGATTTCGTTGGTGGATACATTGAATTGACTATATGCTGTGTGCATATTTGTTGATAACATTTTTGTTTATGCTGTATGCATGTGTCTGCACCGATGCAAGACAATCAAACATGTCTCTATTTATTGGCACACCGGATTTAATCGAATACTTCAGCTACACAAAAAGATATGATCTCAAAAAAACTGACTTTCATATACAGCAAAGCGTGGAATTCATCCGCAGAGCAAATCGGTAAGCTATTATGTATATTTCTATTTCGTGCATCTGATGCAGGCTTTCCAAGTATTTTCCAAATATTTTCATTTTTTTATTTATAAAAGAACAATATATTGAAGCAAGACACGTTTCATCAATTGTGTTTATTTAATTTTATTATCCGGTAAATTTTTCAAAATCTTTTGCTCGCATAAAATTTGTTTTAGTATTATTTACAGCATGTTTCTCTTTTTTGTATTTTTGGTAAATTTTCTGTATGTTATTGTTTTCTTCTAAGGCCGACACATGATCTTTTTTAAGTAAAGTTTTATTACTGATCAATCCAATTTCGTACAAATCAATTTGGTCTCATAAGGACCATATAATTTTCCACTTCAAACTGCTGCTGGGAATGGTCGTTCTACATACTTCCAATATAAAAAGAAATAGAAATTTAATCATATCACTTTTCGTGCTTTCTAGGTGACATCATGCGGTCAAAACGCTAATAAACCAAGGAGCCAATGTTAATTGCAAAAATGTTAGGACTGAAACGCCACTTTACGAGGTTACTTCTGGAGGTAATTGTTCACTTTTCCAAATTAAGAATAAATATTTTCAATCAAATTTATTATGTTGGTGTCTACCAAGCATGAATGTTAATTTTTTTTCAGTTCTAAAAATAAAGCTTATTCTCATTACTTTTCGTGCATACAGACGTAGCCAAATATCTAATCGAGCAAGGAGCGGATGTGAATGCTGAAACTGAAGATGGGAAAAACACACCACTTCATACCGCTCTTTGGACTGGTAATGGTTTCAAGTTGAGAATAAATAGTTTCAAGAAAGTTTATTCTTCTTACTTTTCGTACTTCTAGGTGCAACAAAAACAGCAAAAATTCTCATCGAAAACGGTGCCAATATAAATGCTGAAAACTACTACAAGCACACACCACTTCACGCTGCTGCTGAGTATGGTAATTGTTAACTTTTCCAAATTATTTAAATTTGCATTCCTTAAATCGGTTACATATTTCTTACTTTCTTTTTTTTTTCAAAATGTTTGAACCATTCAATGGCCAAATAATAACAAATGTCGCTAAACAAATTTCTTTGAATGTCTTTTCAGGCAACGCTGACATGATTGATTTTTTAATAAAAAAGGGTGCAAATCAATTCACTAGAAGTAGTAGAAATGAAACTCCACGTGAATATGCTTTCAGAAGAGGTATTTTGACCATACACTTTTGAATCGAAAGCATCTCAATTAAGTTTATAATCAAAAACATTTCAGGTTACAAGGAAGCAGCAAAAATTCTAGAGGAAGCAGAGAGTAGCTTTGGTAATTATCACAATTTTAAATAAATTTGAAATTAAAGGCATCATTTAAAATAACTTGATTACATATCGCACAACTCGAGTCCGCTAGTGAGAGCAAAATGCTTAGAGTCATGAGATATAATCTATTGCATATGATATCAGTGAATACATTGGACGTTAAGATACTAGTACGTTTACATAAAACTATCTCCTATTTTGTGCGAAATAGTCCGAAATAATATCTTAGCCCAATGTAATGACTGCATGATATTTAAATGTTCAGTATATGATGACCCAAGAGGGGTGCCCTACCCCCCATGGTATGGGAGCTATGCTCTCCGGAGTATTTTTGAACCTCCCCGTGAAAAACGCCCCCTAGCGGGAATTTTGAAAATCGCACCACTGATATAGTATATACTCACTACCAGCTACTCATAGCATACAAAAATAAGGATGAATTTGCTGTTATTCAAAAGTTCAGTAAAGTGTAGTTGTGCCTTGTTAATCCATTTTATTTGAATTTGATTCGAAAACATTAAATTGCAGTTTCTGTTGTGATCTCTCCGCCTGAGTTTCAAATCGGACCATGCAGCGCATATCGCACAGCCGCACACGTAAGAATATTCTATTGACGATGATGTATTAGGCATAGTCATGGAATATTGATTTATATTTGGTTTTATTAGACTCCAACCACCGTCATCTGGCATAAGGCGAATGGATTTCTCCCGGATCGATCATACCAAAAGAATGGTGTTCTTACCATCACAAATGTTCAACTTGCTGATGGCGGTGAATATATTTGCCAAGCTGAATTTGAAGGACATCACGAACAACGTGCTACAATTATAGTTAGAGGTAAATATATCAAACCGATTAATTATTAATTTCAATCAATTATAGACGATCGTTCTAATCAAACCGAAAACCAGTAAGTTTCAGCGTGCCTTGAATAACCTTACTGCCTTAAAATAAAATAATAACAAAATTGAAAACAGAACAAAAAATGTAATAGATGACGAAGTTCGTCAGATGAACGTTAAGTTTTAAATAAAAATATGAAATCAGTAGCCAAATGTAGTACTACTCTATTTATGTATCTCTTTTTGCTTTGCCATTCGCAATATAGCAGTGACGGCAGAATGATGATAACATAATCTCACTTGATTACATCATAGTTTGGAAGTACACACATCGCAACATCAAGGGGCTGGTAACACAATTCAACAAAAATGAAAATACTCTAGAAAAGTTGAAATAAATAAATGTTCAAATATTTATTATTGTGAAAATTAATTGTCTTTTCAATTTTGTGAGATTGGTGTTGAAAATATTCGAAAATATAATTAAATGAATTAATGTGAAAAAAATAGTAAAAATCAGATGAAAAAATATGAATGTGTTCTAATTTTCTGTAGAATTTTAATTTCTCTGGGAGAATCGTCAGGGATATTCGAATTTACATATTTTTAATCATATTGCAATAATAAACATAAATTTTGTGACATAAAAAAACGTGATAAGCTCCTAGCTCTAATATTCATTTACATGTAAATTCGACTTTATCAAAATTAAAGCCACATTTTATGCCGAATAAACTAGAAAATCAGAAGTATTGTACATTTCATTGAGTACGAAAGTACTTTCGTTCTTTAATAATTCAGACAAATTTTTGTAATTTATTACAGTGTTCACGTCTTCGCCTCAACAAGAGTTTTTGCAACTGTAATTGGAAATTTTTATTGAAAATGAATATAAAATATTTATTTGTTTTATTGTCTGTGTGTTTCGAAGTCCGTGCAAATTCGGATTTGAACAATAAGCTACTTGATGCCGCCCAAAATGGTAAACTCTCATAAAAATATAATTAGCTATAAGAGGCATGCCTAATATCAAGTGATTCTGAAGGGAACAAATTTATTTAATAGTTCCAAAAAAGTTTATACCCCTTACTTTTCGTACTTTCTAGGTCATACAGAAATGATAAAATATCTAATAGAGAAAGGAGCTCATGTAAATGGTAAAACGATGATCGAATATACCACTTCACAAGGCTGCTAGCCATGATAATTGTTCACTTTTCCGAATTAAGAATAAATAGTTTCAATAAACTTAAATCTGATCACATTTCGTGTGATTTGCATTCACCGATTCGTTTGTACATTTCTTACTTCATTCTATGTTATAAGACTATTTCTTTTTTTCAAAAATGGAAAACAATATTATAGCATAAGTCAATAAACAATAACAAACGTAGCAAAAATTCTTTTTATTTCAATGTCTTTTCTGGAAAAATTCAAGTGATTAAATTGCTAATCGCGAAGGGTGCAAATCTATTCGCTACAAATAGTGAAAATGAAACTCCACATGACGTGGCTGTTACATATGGTAATTTGACCACACACTTTTAAATAGAAAGCAATAAACTTCGCAATATTCATTTAATACGAATAAAAATGACATTGCATTGATTGAGCTGACGAAACGTATTCGCTTTACGGATGAAATAGGAGCGGCATGTTTGGAAACAGATATACGAGACCAACCACCGGATGTAAATATTTTGGAGACAGATTGGGGTTTCCCTATGGATCAAAATGGTACATAAATATTTCAAATAGTATAGAAGATATTTAACATCTTAACATTCAAGCATCTTTGAGATCAAATGACTTAAAAATGGTACAATTGACCCAATGCCTCAATGCAGTGCAACGTTTATCGAATGGAATAGATGATGCACGATTTCGAAACTGTCTCTCTGATGGCCAATATTGTGCGTATGATCTAGAGGGAATAAGAGTAGTATGCATTTGAACATAAAATCCCCTAGTCAAAAAAAGTAATTTCGAAGCCGTTCTCCAAGATCCTAAAAGTTAAACGTTGCTTACTCAATAAGATAACAAAAAAAAATTGGTTAAAAACGCTACGAAGAAACACAATTTTTATTTTTCAAAAAACCGAAGAAACAAACAAAAATATTTTTTTATGTCTACGAATGAGTGATATGCATCCACATCAAACTTTTCATGTTACCTTCGTTCAATAAAAATGGCGTCATCTTTAATTTGGTTCAAATTCCATTTATCTTGAATTTCCACATTTAATTTGTCTCCAAATGCTTTGCTAACATCGCTCAGATACAATCTCTCCATAAATGTGCACTCATTCAAAAGATTAACAATTGTTTCTATTTGCACATCGTTATCGCAATTGAAATTGGCTTCAACTAAATTTTTTGCGATTTTTCCAAGCAAAGAAATATATTCATCTTCAAATCCGTCTCTACTGTGGAATTTAAGTTTTCTTAAATCTGGATGTCTTTCAATGGTTTCAATCCAATTGGGAAATTCATCAGGATCGCAAGCAAACTCCTCCAACCGTTCAAATGTAATGTTCATGAGGCCTCCCGAGACGAAGTTAATTTCGAAACTTTTAACATTCTTAAAATGAATCTCATCCGTGTAATCGACTGTTGTGTCATCGGGCAAAATGAATGTTTCAAGACTTGGTAAATGTTCACTTACAAACTCAACTAACGTAGCACTACCATAAGCAATGTTCAACACTCGAATTTGATGGTTTTTCGCTATTAATTTCTTATGTTTACTATCGCCGGGAAAAATACCAAACGAAATTATCAAATGTTCCAACTTTGCAAGGGAATGACCAAAAATATCATCATTTTTTATATTAACCGCAAGTAATTGTAATAATTGCACGTTCGGAAAGATTTTCGCCAAACTTAATGTGTGGGTCTCGAATTCAGACATATGAAACGTAACTTCGGTTACGTTATAGAATGGGTTCTTCACTTGCCTCAACATATTTCGGCCACCATTTACACTGAATCCACGTAATTTTTCACAGTATCGACTGGCCAATTCAATACATTTTTCTAAATTCTTGTCTGGCATGACGTTTGAGAAGTTGATGTATAACTCTGAAATAAGTTCTCCGAAGTATTCAAGTAGAAGATAAATTGAATTTATTTTAATATTATGACTAACTGTATTGCCGTCGATAGTTAGAGAATACGAATTTGAATTTTTTACAATTAAAACAAACTTGTTCTCATATTTTCTATCGAAAATATCAGCAGCAATCATCCGATAATTGTTATTCATGAGAGCCATATCAAGCAAATCGTGAATATCAATTTTATTTATTATTTCGAATCGACAATTTGCACTCGAATCATTCGGCATTGTCAACATTTCATCTACGCATTCCAAGTGGTTCAGCCATAAGTCATTCTAAAATTATTTTAAATTATTAAAAGAAAGTAAAAAAAATTAAAAAAAAAATTACTCTGGTCGAATCGATGGACTTGCTGGTTATAGCATTTATAGCACAGATACAAAGGAAAATAAATGTGTAAAAAGTGTTGATCGTCATTTTCTGGATTTTAAACGTCGTTTTTCAATTTGTAACGAACTATTAAAGCTGCTAATAACGACTGTTACTTTTTAACTATATTTATTTCTGTCGTGATCCGCCTTATCTTATCAAATTGAACACATTTTTTTCGATATCAAAACTTTGCTACCTTATTGAAAAAAATGTGAATTTTGACGGAATAAAAGTACTTCTTTTAAATTGTTTCTCTGTGTGTAGTTATCTAGAATCGAATTATTATGATATTTTTAGTTGTATGTGTGACTAAAACTTATTTCAATATTTTTTATGCTTACAGCACAGGTATTCATCATTTAGATCATTTTCCCTAAATGCTACAGATGACAAGTGGTAAAAAAAGAACAGTCTAGAGCCAAAGTTCACCATTGTTTGTCAAAATATTTTATTGTTTATTTTTCGATAAACAGGTAAATGACAATGGCTTGAAATGTTGTGTTTTTTGCGAACCCACTTACTGCGATGCATCACTTGAAGGTCCTTTTTTAAGAAAACATACTTATGCTACTTTGAGCAGATGGAATTACTTTGTTGTGAATAAATGTCACTTCCTTTGTTTGTTATTTGGCAGGATTATTAATTTCGGGGGAAAAATCGGTTCATATGCATACAGCTGAACCTAATGATTTTTGTTATCGGTTTTCATTTGTTCCTATACCCATTATTCCTTACCATACAAATCCATGGATAGTCATAGTTGAAAGACGTACAAGGATAGACGTGTCTCTTCGTCGTGTGTGTTTTACTTGTCATTGTGATCACTGTTCCAGAATAACCAATCTGTAAAGAAAATCCAACGAAAATAAAAATATCGAATCACAACATAAAAATTGTGTGATTTAGCTTTACTTGTGAATAAAAATCAAAAATATTTCAGTGAAAAGTGTTAAAATTTGAAGTATTCGCAGAACAATCGATAAAAATATGGATATTCCGGCAGCGCAAGATTCGCCAAAAAACATTTTGAATGCTTTGAACAATGACAGTATCACAGAAATTATACGCAAATTAACCAATGTGGAAGATTTTCTGAGCGCAGCCGAAACATGTAGACGATTCCAGGCATGTGCAAAGGATACGTTCAAATTTATGGCATCGAATTATTTTAAATGCATCAATATTAACATGAATTTAAATTTGATGGGAACACTGAACGGCGAACGTGTGGAAAGTTTCACAACAATTTTTGGCAATTCGGTCGAATCAATCCAATTGGGTGCAACAAAAAAACATCATGAAACTCTTTACAATCGGTTAGATGATATTCAAATAATTCGATTGATATCAAAAAATTGTGGCAAAACACTTAAGCATTTACAAATTTACCGAATTGTCAAACCGCTAATGAATGAACGAGATCAATTTCCGGCTTTGGAAACATTGTCATTCTCCAAATATATACCAACAAATTTCAAACTTAATTCACCACTGCAATGTTTAACATTCAACAATCTAAGGGTTGAAAGTTCATTATCTCATTTTATAAGAGCTTTTCCGGAATTGAAACAAGTTAAATTTAACGCAACCGACTGCTTATGGGATGACACATTTAATGAGTTTGCAATACTTAATCCACAATTACAGCGATTAGAATTTTCATTTTGTCATAACATCACATCATTGGTATTTGAACAAATAGCCAGCAATTTAGCAAATTTGGAGCATTTGTCTTGTATCTATTCGCAAAGAATGAAAAGTGGTCATCGTCGAAAAATTGTATCGTCTTTGGTTAAATTACGAAAACTAAAAAGTTTCGTTTGGGGATGTGATTATGATTTTTCAATAGAATCTCTTATTAATGCATTCGTTAAATATAATATACCGATTGAAGAATTAACATTTTTGCCATTGCAAGCAATCGATGAAATTAAAAGCATGCAAACACTGAACACACTGAAACATTTGACCATTTCATGGCACACTTCAATCGGCAAGGTTAATCGATTGCTGAACACACAAGCCGCATTGGAAACGTTAACATTTGAATTGAAATATAATGATCGTAGCGCATCGCAAGCAATTGTTAATCAACTTAAAATGTATATTAAAGGAGCACTGGGTACTGGCAAGAATTTGAAACAAATAACATGTCGCGTTCATAAAGTAAACATCGATGTTATCGTCTATAAATCAATTTTGGCTTTAATAAAAGATCGAGCCAGTGTTTTAATTGAAGTTTCACATAATTCAACTATCAATATTCCGGCAGATGTATTGAAAGGGAAATGGTTAAAAATAATTGTACGCAACAAATGTACAGATAACCGCGAACCGAGCTCATTCAATCATTCGAGGCGCTCAGATACCGCAATAGCAATGAGATCTCCGGCGACCAGACGTGAATAAATACTCGGTAGTAAGAAATAGAAAAATAAAATAGAAAAAATGTTACTGTACTATCAAAATCAGGTAACATAATGAAATTTAATCGACGACAACCGGAGATTTTTGAAAATTGAACACAGTATAATAAAAATCTGAAAAAAAAACAATCTTTCGAAATTTCATTATGTAGAATTTTTTATTAAAATTAGTTGTAATTTTTTTTATAATTCAAATGTATGATCTGCACAGAAATTAAATAAAAATTTGTCAACATTCTTATTACATACGTTTTACTTTCCAACATTTTTCAGCTCTAATATCATTATTACGTTTTTGGTACTTAAAATAAAAAAATCAATATATTTAGTCCTTAAACTCAATCAAATACCGAACACAAGACCCCAGATGGCAATAATTACTTTTTTATACGAAAAAAATTCTTTGGATTTGCTGGGGTTTCTTGACCGAAATTAACACCCTCAATCATCAATCCAAAAATTTGGATCATTCAATTCAAAATAAATTTTCATCGGAGTGAAAAAAGAGGCCTTTATTTTTACAGACCTCCCCCCCGTGCATAATTTGTAGATATTACATATTTGTAAACTCCCCCCCGTTTTTTCACCACCTGCCCACGTATGTTCTCTAAAGAAGTCATTATTTTTGCACGTCTTTTTTTACTATAAAAAATGATTTGATAAATATAAAAATACTGTTATCAACTACCACAAAAATCTTATCGATATCATAATGAGACGATTAAATTCAATAATTGATTAAAATTAAGTACTTACCTCTCCTACTGGTTATCATACATCATTCAACTGCTTTGTGCTTTCCGCACAAAATATTTATTTGAATCGAAAAATGTTTAGTAATACAAAGAATAGCATCAATATGACACATAATATGAGTGGATTTGGTGAAGAGCGATCAACTATGAACTATACGGGTGTAAGTCGAATTCAAGAAAACAATAACTTTAAATGAATTTTATGTTTTTAAATATGTAGGTCATAGATTGGCTACTTGCATACAGGGATCCATATGATATTTGGATGTCACATCCGAGCTATGTGATTTGTGAATTTCATTTTCTCATTGGAGCTGCTCTGATGATTGTTCATGGTTTGTTAACAATTTTTTTGTATGCTTTGATTTATTCGTAACTAAGTCTACTATTTAATTAAGGACAGCTTTGAAAACCGGAGGCAGATGGCCATGGTTATTCTTATCAGCTATGACGCATGGATTTGTGATTGAATTGATTTCGTACTTTTCACCGTTCATCGATAATTTTTGGCACGCTCAAAGCATTATTACACTTTTCGATCGCCGGATGCCACTCTATATTACGGTTTTATGTATGTTTCAAATCCATCGAAAGATTTTTATTTCAATATGAAATATGCTTCTTTTCAAACAGATTCGGTGTTTTATTATCATGCTTCATGGATCGTTTCCAAAATGCAATTGAAATCTAAACTGGTTGAATATATGGCCGTTGGACTGATGACCGTTTTAATTGATATGCCGTTTGATATAATTTGTGTAAAATATGTTCATTGGATATGGCATGATACTGATCCAAATATTTGTAGGTGTTATTCAAAAAAAAATTCGTTTTCTACTTGTAATTTATTGTTTTTATCATTTCGTAAAAAAGATGATCGCCATTATTGGGTGCCATGGAATTCGTATTACTTCCATTTGTGCTTTTCTACTAGTTTTCAATTTTGGTTTCATTCCGTTCGTAGTTGGTTTGAAACGCGTAAAAATTTAGACAAATGGCAATCTGGTTCGATGTAAGACATATGTGTATATGTGTAGTAATGTGCGAGCTACATTTTACAGGGGGGGGGGGGTGTTTTTTCAAAAAAAAAATGATATGCAAAAAATAAATTTTTTTTTTTTTTTTTTTTTTTACAAGTTTGTGGTTAAAATCCCAAAAAAATCAAAATAATTTTCCCCGCCCAAAACCTCAGCAAATTAAAATAAAATCGTTTTTTTTTTTTTTTGGAAGTCACTTTTTGAGGCGAAAATCCCTAGCAAATCGGAAGAATTTTCTCAGCCAAACAAAGTGAAGAGCTAA